CTTCAACTGCAATGTCTGGGATACACTGAAAGCTGATAGAGCAGGTGTCCTTGCCGGTCATGATAACCGTGTCAGTTGCTTAGGTGTGACTGATGATGGAATGGCAGTGGCAACAGGATCGTGGGACAGCTTCCTCAAGATCTGGAACTGAAAAGAGCAGCGGACTCTGTGACTGGAAGAACTTTCCAGCGGTTGAAAACTAAAACTGATAGCATATCCAGTCTGACCATACTAACTTGGACCCCCATCCTCCCCAGCTCCAAAGGGCAAGATTTTTTCCTTCTCCTGTTGCTGAAATGAAGAGCACAATTACCTTTCCAAGAAGAATTTCTGTGGTTGTAAGCAAAATGAAATTGTGTATTCCTTTGGGACCATTTTCTTTTGTCTTGGGAATTTAAAAATGAAACATTATCATAAAAGTGTGACCAGAATGATCATGCTTGTGTTTGCAACTATGTTACTTTGTTTTTGTTTGTAGTGTTTTGGTGCATGATATTGCAATTTTTGTTTTTGAAAAAGGAGGGGAAAAATGCTGAGGCTTACAGCTATGTTACTTTGTTTTGCCAATGTTGCAATGTTTATTGCTAATTTTTGTTTTTTGGAAAAAAGAGGGGGAGATGTTGGGGCCTTGCTAAGACTATATAAGAAACTGGAGTAATGGGATTCACCTGGAAGAGAAGAACGTGTTCAGGGGGAACTGGACCGACGCCTAGCAACCAAGCACCTGGAGGAGCACCAACCAGCTGGAAATCTGTAGCCGGCCAATGAGAACGCTGCTCCTTAGCGCATGCCCACCTGCACTGGTATAAAGCTCTGCTGCAGACAACAGCAGAGTGGAGTTGACTTCACTTTGCATAGAGGTGTTGTTCACTCTGGCTTGTGGAGAAGGCTTCGGCACTCGCCACGAGTTAAACCCCCTTCATATTAAGGTGTTGCTCACTCCAACTCGTGGAGTGAGCCTCAACATTCGATCCTCGACAGCTCATTAGTGGACTTGGTTATCTGAACACTACTGATTAAGTCTCCTGTTAGATGAGGAAAGAAAATGTCCAATTAAAAAATAAAAGGAAAAGCACAGTTTGTCGTACTTGAAGTAAGATCCCAAAGTGGAGCCATGGTTGTATCCCTGCAGGGGCTCGCTGAGCTGGGAGGCCAGCGTGCTGGGCAATTTCACATCATGGAATAAGATGTTCAAGCATCGTTTCAGTGTTCATGTTCTTTTGAGTGTTTTAACTGTGCTTTTGAAGGTCTCCAGTAATCTCTTGTGTTCCCTTGGTACTGTTGTAAACCGTCAGGTAGTGATCCATATTTATGACTGTTTTTTCCTTACTACAGATGGATGCTTTTTTTTTGTGCAGTTTTGTGCTGAAGGCTGTGCTGCTCTCAAGTCCAGCATAGACCAGGTTCTTCCCTTCTTTGTTATCAGAGCTGAGTATTAACGGCATGAACAAAACCCTGTCCCTCATACGGAATTGTGGGATGGGGTTGCAGGATGTGTGCTCTGCAAAGAAACTAGGCAGAAGAAGGAAAGTGTGTTCTGGGAAGATTGTAAAGACTTATAGAAAGGCTCTTGTGCCAGGGGCTCTGTGTGGTGAGCTGTGTGCATGTGCTCGGGTCCATCGGAAGGTGCCTGCTCAGAAATGGCACCGATGATTGAAGTTTTCAGTGTGAGCCCCCATCCGTGACAGCCCCTAAGGATAGGCCAGCAGAGCAGGGACGCCAAGACACGTGCTCACAGTTGCACGAAGCCAGCGGGGAGCAGAACAGAGGGTTAGTCCAGGTTGCTCCAACTCCTGCTGTCTCCTCTGCCTGCTCTCTCTGCTAAGTGAGCACCGCTCGCTCTGGTGGTGGGTACTCTGCTAGGCATCCAGCTGGGTTGTCTTGCTCACGGTCTCTCGCTTTCTGGTGTGGGAGCTGCATTATAAGACTGCATTGCTCCTCTTCTTTTTCCTGCATGGAGCCCTAGTCCCGGGAAGCATTATATGGGGCCTGCAAAGCCAAACGCAGTGTTAAGAGAGCATGACCTGGAAAAGGGATCATAGCTTTGTTGCTTGAAATTATTGCTCTTTTCGCATTTTCACATTTAACCTGGGCAAGTCATTGAATTCAATTTTGAAAGGTCGTTATGGGAAAAGTTTGGTTATTTCCTAGAAGCAAGATAGAATTTGAAAATAATGTTATATTTTTTCCTCTGTATTCAATGAAATAATGGCCCATAAGCTGGTCCCATTAAAAAAAAATACTGTAAAATATTACTCTAGACTCTATTGTTCTGGCTTGTAAGATATTATATGACTTTACAAGGCAATAACCTATAAACTAAATACACTTCTGGTTTAACTCCAGTCAGAAATTTAATAAAACTAAACGGTAGCTTAAATATCATGTAACTGTAATAACAAGTTTATAAAGAAACTCTCTGATTATCTTTTATTATTACAGAACTTAGAGGTATGGATCTTCGGCATCTGTTGTTTACTTTGGCACTGGTCTGTGCAAATGACACTCTCTCTACAAGTGATGGTAAGTTTTATATCTTTCTGCCTCTTTGTGTATATATAGACTTCATATAAAAGTATTTTTATATGCATATGCAAATACCTTGGTTGAAGTAATCTGAATGCATCATGTGAAAAATATGTCAGTTAATCTTGTTATGAAAATGATGAATTAGACTAAGTGTTGCAGAGTAAAGGTGAATTCAGTAGATGGTGAAGGCACATACAGAGGTTGGGTGAATGTTGATGTTGGGTATCTAGGTTTTCTTGCTCCTGTTCTAGTACTGAGGTTGTGAAAGAACTGTATGTGGGTTATTTTTTAATAGAAATTTTTTGTTTTCCTTAAGTATTTTTAGTGTATTCATATGTTAGAAAACTATTTGAAAGTTAGGAGGAAGCATTTTCAGACCATATGTTTTGGGTCTAAGGCCAGTATAAACAAGCTTCTTAAGAAATACACTTAAAAATTCTTGAGAAATAGATTTAAAAAAAAAGGGATTTGAAGAGAACATGATGCCTCAACCAGCCAGAATCCTTTGAGTACCCAGTAGAAACTATTTTTATATGGTTCAAATCCTGAAAACATATCCTGCAGTGGTTTTGATTCAAAAGATCTGCTCAGTTTTTGCGTCCACTGAATATACCCCCTGGCTTTCCACAGTTCTTCCCTTCTCATCCCTCTCATCCTTAGTTCTTCCATCTTAACTGAATGCAGGCTGGAAGGTATTCCCTGTGGCTGAGATTTCTCTGCTTCTTTTTGCAGCCAGCAATGATTTACAAGTCTTTATATGTTTTAGAGGCCTGACTCAAGTTTGCTTGATCCTTTGAAGCTGGTCTTTTACTACTTGAGAACCCAGATTAGCTTTGGTGGGAGTTTTGTATTGGTTTAGACACATCTGCTTATGCTGGTTATGACCTGCTCCTGCAAACCAAAGCAGCCTGCCTAGTCTGCTCTGTCTTGTTGGGGCCTTTGGAGAGAACACTAGCAGCTTTCTGTAGCAACTAACTTTTTATGAACATGTCATTTCTTCTCCCAGAGCTACCAAACCAGCTGCCCTAGACCATTTTCTTGAGCAGGTGCCCTCCTGACCAACTAAACAAGAACAGTGTTAGCAGAGGACATCAGAGGGGGCAGTCTGAGATGTAATTTTGGAAAAAGGGGAGTGAAGCTTCCACAACAAACTAAATTAATAAAAATCTTAAAGGAAAATTTATTGCATCTTTCAAAGATTCACTTCTTTTTCTCTTTAAATCAGTAGTTCTGCTCCTACTTAAATGTTATCAAATGCAAATTAAACATTCATAGAGTTATAAACCATGTTTCACTAGCCAGTCTAGTATTGGTTTTAAACGTATGATCATCTCCCTTCTCTCTGATAGAGTTCTGCATTTTCTTGGAGTTGCATTCTTACTGTTTCTGGATATTCCTATTTGCAGAAGTAGCGAAGCAATATGATAGTTATTACCTTGTATATGATGGAGACATTAAGCAGGAAATAAGATGTAATTAAAATTCAAAGAAGGAATTTTCAGTGGAAAATCCTGTGGAAGGCAATGAATGAATCAAGTTTGCACTTCTATTCCTGTTTGCAGGGATGCTTTCAATCTGCTACCCGCGTGTCTTATGCAAAATGAATGCACCTATTTAAGAAGTGTATAAAGAAGCATGGGATAGTGAAGTACTTATTTTCATAGTAAAATTATGCAGAAATGTGGGAGATTTTTTTACTAATTTATTTTGTATCATTTGTCTTCTGAGTTGGTTAAAAGAAGAGGAAGTTTGAGAAAGGAATTTGCTGAATAAAGCTATATATCCCTTTTTTTTGGTGCACCAGTCCCTTGATTTAGACCTATGGGTTGAAATAAATTTGCAAATTCCTCCTTAATCCTGTTAATAGGGAAAGTCAGTATTTTTCAGTGAAATGTGATATATGTACCACTGCAGCATATGAGATTCTCAGACTTCTGCGGGGGTGAAACCAAAGACCTTTATTTAGGGTTAAACGCCACCTACAGAGCTTCCGAGCCCGGAGCAGCCCCTGCCCTGCCGGGCCGCACGTGGAGCCCAGCAACCGAACCAGCCAATCAGCGAGATGATCCCGCGCCGACGACCGGAGGCTGCCAGCGCTGCCCCCGCGCGGCCGCGGCCCCCCCCCCCCCCGCCTCTCCTGCTCAGCCTCTGTCTGCCGAGGAGACACTGCCAGTCACCGGCCCCAGGCTGACCCCCACATACCACCTTCTATTCATTGCCTCTTACAGAATGGTCAGTAGAAAAAAAAAATGTGGTCTGACTCGATCGCCTTTCCCCATCCAAATACAAAAATAATCCCTCTTCCGCTGCAGTCTGCTGGACCAATTGATTTCTCTCTTGAGGCTTAGGAGCACAAGGCATAAGAGGCTTCTTGGGTCTTTGGCAGAAGTGTGGTCCAAATCTCCAAAGTTCTGTGAAAAGTTTCTGCATTCCGCTCAATGCTCAGCTGTCTTGATTGATGTTTC